GAGAGAGAGAGTGTGTGTGTGTGTGTGTGTGTGTGAGAGTGTGTGAGAGAGAGAGAGTGTGTGTGTGTGTGTGTGTGTGTGTGTGTGTGTGTGTGAGAGTGTGTGTGTGTGTACGAGTGTGTGTTTCACTCACAGCGTCCGTTGAGGTTGTGTGTGTCCATGAATGACAGCGCTTCATCACAGTTGGTTCCCTGCTCCGTGTAGCTCTTGTCCATTGAGTTCACCATCACCGTCATCTCCTGTCTCGTGCTGTTCAGAGTCTCCTTGCGCTTCTTCGCCAACTTTCTGCAAATCACAAAATCAAAGATAAACATACTGTAACAGCATTAGTGACGTGATTGAGAGTTCTGACAGGAAATACACACGTCTCACAGTCAGAATGACACACACACACACACACACACACCCAAGTCTAGGGTTGCACAATATATAAATCACTATATTGCTTAGGGTGATCACACACACACACACACACACACACACACACACACATTTTATTTGGATTCACAAGACAAGCAACAAAAACAAAAATCCAAATACCTTGGGAAGTCAGTTTGCAAGATGACAGGTACACATGGCTAACATACATTCACAAGTCCTTATATTTATAACATTCAACACTCAAGGATAGACAAAACATCTTCGTTTCCATATTTGCATACTCCCTATAGTGGCTGAAACTGAACAAAATTTTGTGAGTTTTTTTGCTTTCTTTTTTTGCAATCACACACACACACACACACACACACACACACTGTACGCAGTATGAACACTGTTAGGGAATGTAATCAGCTTTATCACATCTATTTTCATTATAATTTCAAAGTTTTAGTAATTTTGTTGTGTTTTTGTCATTTTTATGAGCTTTTTATGTCTATTTTATGCATTTTTGTTTCAGTTTTAATTATTTTAGTATCATTGATATACTTATAGTTTTTATTAATCTTTTGAATTAGTTTTTATTTTTATTTTCCTATTTTCAATTTAACATTTTAGTCAAAATGTTAGTAATTTTGTCATTTTTAGTTTTTTTTTTTTTTTTTACTGTTATGTTTTTAATTATTTATATTTTAGTTCTGGTTGTAGTTATTTTAGTACATCAAGTTAAACTAATTGAAATGAGATGTTGCATTGGGAACTTCCTGAAATAAAATATATATATATAAAAAATATATATCATCAGTAAATGTCAATTTTAAATAACAAATGCATTTTTGTATATCAAACTAAATGAAAGCAAAAAACGTTGTCTTGGCAATATTTATTTCAAGAAACATTTTTAGTTCCGGGTAATTATAATAGCCCTGTTTAGTACTAAATGCATGAGAAATGTTGCATTTGGGAACAAGCTTAAGTAAAACATATTTTTATATTTTGCATTTTTTTATTTTTATTTCAGTTAACATTTATTTTAAGTAACATTTTTTTTGGTTTCCCTTCATAATATTTGACGCTGAAATAAATTATTTCCACATGTAACTGACAATAATGTATAGTTTCATACTGCATTTAAACAGTATTTAAAGTTGTGCACGTATGAACACAGCCTACGGTACGTTCTGCTTTTAACAATGTAAATGAGGAACAGTGTGAGAGGTTATTTCAACAAATGTATTTTAGTGAGCAAAGAGCAGTTCTGAGAAAGCACTCAAGGTGGTCGGCCATTAAACTAATCAGGACCTGATTAAGATGGCAAAGTCACCCTCCCAATTAAAGCCCAATATAATCTTAATCAATGCCCCACCAAGAGCTTCAAGGAGCGCCGGTTCTCCGTGATTACAGCCGCAGATCCGAGAATAAAGCGCTGTAATGGAGTTCTGCTTTAATTCAGTTAACCTGCCTTCGTCTGCTAATGATCCGCAAATGCAAATGAGGCCAAATTACTCAGCCAATCCGTGGGAGGGAAATTAGCGTGTGTTTCCTCGCCTGAGGCTCGACTTCCCAAAGCATTTCCAATGAGATCTTGGAAACGGAGCCAAACCACAAAGTAAGGAGATGCAGCAAGTTTCTACAAACTACAAACTCCATTAAAGCCAATCTGAGCTCATGAACATCAGCAGAAGACATGATTGATGAGCAGAGCTAACGGGTCACGCCGCCATGAGGTTATCCACGCTAAACAACAGGAACATCAACCATCAGCTTTGAGTCAAAACTCAATCTCCATTTGGCAAAAAGATTTAGATTCGATTCCCACACTACACAGCTTACTCTCAGAAATCACTGGTAAATTTCTCAAAGCACTACAAAGATTCGATGTTGTAAAGTAATGTAGAAAGACTGAAATAGAACACTCTAAAAAATTCTGGGTTATTCTTTTCTACGCAATCACTGGGTTGAGGTTGTTGGGTCATATGTGACCCTGGAGCACAAAACCAGTCATAAGGGTCAATTTTTCGAAACTGAGGTTTATACATCATCTGAAAGCTGAATAAATAATCTTTCCATTGATGTATGGTTTGTTAGGATAGGACAATATTTGGTTGAGATACAACTATTTGAAAATCTGGAATCTGAGGGTGCAAAAAAATCAAAATATTGAGAATATCATCTTTAAAGTTGTCCAAATGAAGTTCTTAGCAATGCATATTACTAATCAAAAATTAAGTTTTGATATATTTACGGTAGGACATTTACAAAATATCTTCATGGAACATGATCTTTACTTAATATCCTAATGATTTTTGGCATAAAAGAGAAATGTATAATTTTGACCCATACAATGTATTGTTGGCTATTGCTACAAATATACCCCAGCGACTTAAGACTGCTTTTGTGCTGCAGGGTCACAGATGTTGGGTTGTTTTTTTCCCCAATAGGCCTCATTCATGAAACTTGCGTTAATATATGAATAAATTCTGAGTAATTTGTGCATAAAACAGACATTCCCAAAAAGAAAACTGTCCTCCGGATTCACAAACGCTTCGTTAACTTCAGATTTGATAGTTAAACATGTGTATGTTAATGAATTCCAACCATTCATAAATAGGATGTTCACAATTAGCATAATCCCCGTCTAGAAACGCAGTGGAATATTCTGGTCTACTTTCTCAAGTTTGGTTCCAGTATATTGCATAAATGCAAAACAGACTAATAGTCAATATATTTAACAAAGCATATTCATTAACATGTGTCCATCAAAGAGTTTTTAGCCAGTTGAAAAAATGTCAGACGCTCTTCTTAAAACGACCAGCTGGTGGTGCAAAAAAAACAAAACAAAAAACAAAACGAAAAGAGGGCAAGGGCAAATGAACTTTAATTATTACGGCACTACATCAAAATGCAGTGTCATCAGTTTGCCAAAAAGAGCACAGAATATTTTATGAACCGTTTACATGTGCTAGGGACATTTCGAATTCATTTTGAAAATACGTTTTCATGAATTCGAAAGTTTACGTCAGAATGGCTTTACAAACGATTTACACAAAAATGTGTTCTGCTTGTGTTTTATGAATGAGGCCCATTGTTGGGTAATTTTTGCGTTCTCAATCTCACTGACTGCTGAAACCTTGTTAATGATTTTATTTTAGGCAAAGCAACGTACAGGGACAAGGTGACAGTCAGGTGACGGAAATGCCTTTAGTGTTGCATAACAAATGGATTTTATTCATTATAATACTGAACTTAATTTATTTTGATGTTAAAATATGTTCTCTAACCACAGTACTGTTTGTTTATGGGCAGCTTATGGAATATCGCTACGCCGACGTCATTATCGATTTTTCTTTTATGCCAAAAATCATTAGGATATTAAATAAAGATCATGTTCCGTGAAGATATTTTGCAAATTTCCTATCGTAAATATATCAAAACTTAATAAATAATTTTTGATTAATAATATGCATTGCTAAGAACTTAATTTGAACAACTTTAAATATGATTTTCTCAATATTTAGATTTTTTTGCACCCTCAGATTCCAGATTTTCAAATAGTTGTATCTCAGCCAAATATTGTCCAATCCTAACAAACCATACAGCAATGGAAAGATAATTTATTCAGCTCTCAGGTGATGCAAAAATTTCAAAAAATTGACCCTTATGACTGGTTTTGTGGTCCAGGGTCACAAATGTTAAATATGGATATTTTTCTTACATAAACGCATCGATTCACCTCCCGGAGCCATGTGAGGCACATTTAATTATGGATGGATGCGCTTTATTGGACTTCTTTTGTACTGTTGCTAGTTTTACTTGATCTTAGTGCTGCGTTTGATACTATAGA